CATGTTTTTTGGTAAATATCCAGGAGCGCGGATTAATAAGAAGGACAATTTTTTTTCGTGTGCTCTAAAATTCTTTCTTGTTTGTTATGTTGACTAAATCATTTTATTAGTACTATGATCCAGGAATTTTATGAGGTGATAGTCTACTATCACTGGCTCTTAGTCTATATGGTTAAAATAATAAGTTCGACAACTTTCGTAATAAATTTGACTTAAATTTATTTACTTAATGCTTGCTGTTGTAAAATCTATTGCAAAAAACGTCAATTTTAATTCCATTTTGTAAAAACAATTCTCCCAATTTGGTAGTTTTATTGAAAGTCAAACGATCTGTTGAAACCACTCTTAATAAAACCTTGCTGTATTGCTGGAAATTGCAATTCGTTAAATGAAAACTAACCATGTATCAATCGTGCATTTTACGAATGATTTCAGCATATCACTCTTTAGTTGAATCATTCAAAACAAGAGGAAAATGAAAAGGAAATTCAATGGGGATTGATTGTCTTTCACAATTCGATTGATTAGATTATTAGAGTAAATGAACTATTTGATCACACTTTTTCTTTCAATACTGAAATAGTTTTTCGTTTCATCAGTTGGTTCTTCGAATCATCCAGTGTGTACAGTTTGATCATTTCGGTTCAACTGATCTATAGAGTGATTGTTTTCGCTCTCTGTTTATCATTCATTTTGTTGGACTCTTCTTTGTATTCTTTTTCACATTGATCAACTGAACGGTAAAAATTCAAACGAAAAGTATTTCGAAAATTAGTTTTTTTTTCTTTTGGAAGTTTGTATTCAACGCAAATGTGTTACACCATTCGAATATGGCTGGAACAACCATCAGTTTTGTTCAAAAATGAAAGTGTGCCGTTAAAAATTGACCAAAAAAGAACTCGTTGAGAAATCCTACCTGAAATATTGTCGTATTTTAAAATGAGTGCAAATAGATTTACAAACTGTAGCTGTAAATAGTAATGGCAGCACTCATCTCTGTACCTGGTTAGCATTTGGTGCAAGAATATTCTAGGAAATTTCTCGCATTTGCCATTAGCCATTTGTTCACTAATTGCATGTCGTCTCTTCTCAACATTGTTCGATCGACCGAGCGTGCAATGCAAACGAGCCGTGCAAAATGAAATGCAACAGTCAGTTCAGTTTCGTTTCTCAGTCGAACAGCATCTTCTCTCGAAAAAAAACTAAAATTTTGTTAATTGAATAAAAAAAAAATGGCGAGAGCAAGATTAACAGCACGTGTTCCCAGAGGTTTATATAAAGAGCCAGAAGCGACGGGCGTATTCGAGTATTGCAATCCCAATGACAGAGTAATCAATGGTTTGTATTTGGATACAAAAAAATCCGATGTGAGCTTTGTATTTGATATCGATACTGATCACCCGGTGAAGGTTCCAGCACACAAGATTATTCTATCGAACAATAATCCAGCGTTTGATGCTATGTTCTACGGTCCGGTAAAGGAAGAAGGCGATATCCCAATTAAAAACGCTAATGTCGCTGCATTTAAAGAATTTCTGCAGTTCTTTTATTTGGAAGAGGTGCGTCTAACTTCCGAAAATATCACCCAAGTCATGAATTTATGCAAAATGTACGATATGAAAAAGTGTACAAAGATATGTGAAACCGTATTTCAAAAATCACTGACCATCGATGACATGTGTTTTGGCTATGGCTTCGCTTTACTTCTTGAACGAGAATATCTAGTGAATTTTTGTGAGCTAAAAATTAAAGAGAATGCACGTAGAATAATGGAATCGAAAAGTTTTCTAGAGGCTGACCGCAGTTTGCTGGAGAAAATATTGATTTTGGTATCGTCGGATTGGAGCAACTGGAGCGCCTTGGAGATTGTCATAGCATGGATAGAATGGGCCAAAGCTGAATGCGGTCGAAACAACTTGGAGGCGAGCCCAGCAAATCTAAGAAGTCAATTGGGTGAGCTATTCGATCGCATTCCCTTTGAGAAACTCACATTGGAAGAGTTTTCTCAACACAAGGAATTTTTCAATGCAGATGAAATTGTGGAAATGAATCAGAAAATTCGGCTTCAAAATCAACTATCAAATCCATTTGAACCACAATCACTCTCAACACCCTCATCTCTTGGTAATATTTTGGATTGTGATCGACGTGACGTTGGATTAGCAAGGAATACCAGGAATTCCTCTTTATTATTTGACGCAGTTTTTTCATCAAACCAGAAATTGTTGTTGACAAAGTTTTACATATCAGTCGAATTTGAAATGCGGACGAAATTCAAAGGATTCATAACGGACTTTTTATCTGCACCAAACGAGAGCAGATTCGAAAGTGATGGATCATGCATAGTTTTATCCGAACCGTATGTCATTGAAGCTGGAAAAGAGTATACCATATATGGCGTTTTTGATAAAAAGACGGAGATCCAAATACCAACACTAAAGCATTCAGTTCAACTTGAACAAGATATAACAATTGCATTTAGAGTGCGGAGTTTTGATTTAGTATCACGTCTCGTTTTTCAATTACCCGAAAAATAGATAAATCGAATGCTTTATACTTACATCAATCTTTTGAAATGAACTTTTTTTTAATGAAAATGATTTAATAAAAAAAAGTTGAGATTAAATTTTCTGTATTTTCTTAAATTGAATTTTATCGTAGATTTTTCCAAATTTTCACAGGTTTTCCTTCTTTATTTGAAGTTGCTCAATGCTCCTCCCCCTTTTTGAATTGAATCATTGAATTTAGCGACTTTATTCTAAGTTGAATGATACAACAAAACACAAATTAAATCTAACCACAAAACCAATTTGAACGAAACTTTTCCTCTTCTTTCACAAAATGATCCGTGATGCTCTACTCGCAATCTCATACGTTGATACTGATGTTACAGGCCTGCCACAGATTTTTTTTCTAAAAAAACTGAAAAAGCTGATATTACCAGTTTGAAAAAGCAAAAAGCTGATGCAATTAATATGGCAAAATCAAAGAAGCAGTTATAAAAATAGTTTTTTTATAGTATTTATAGTCGAATCATAACTGAAATTTTATTTTCAATCTTACTTGCTACGCAGTTGACATATAAATAATATTGCTAACTGAATTAAATTTGACTTCCATGTTTTCAACATGTTTATCTCGCATCAAGTGTTGGGTCACAGCAGCAAATCCTCTGCTTTTGACGTTGATAGTACCATTGCAGGCTGAACATCTCAATGTAAAATCATCTTCCTTCTTGAGAAATTCTTTGTATTTCACTTTGCTTTTATCTTTCATCTTTCATTTCGAATTCCAAATTAAACCAATCATTATGAACTTTGCATGACATTTTTATTTCACAATAGAAATGTACTTGTTTGATTTGAATGGAAATTTGACTCGTGCCAAAATCGAATGTGAACTGATTGTTGCATTATTATATTTTTGATATTTGGAGCTACCACTTGAGCTAAAAAATGCTTGTGCACTCATTTTCACATCTAGCAAGTGTTTGCCGATTTGGAGAATGATAAAACGGTAATTTCTTCTTATCAGTTTCGCAATTGCCTCTTTACATCGATTTATAAACATGATCTATCAAGTGTTGTCATGCCAAATCGAAACAATAACAAAAACGATAATTTCTTATTTAAATTGATTCGTGAATATGCTGACCAATGCGTTTCAGATAAATTGAAAGAATGACACTGTGTCATAGCACAGTGCCAATGATTCAGAATTAGATTGAGTTAATATCGTCTTCATAAGAAAAAAAATGTTTCCTTTTTCATTGCTCTGTCCGAAAACGCGTTTCTTATCATTGTTATGATAAGCATTTTTTTATTGAGATTTTTTTCATCATTTGTATTAGTTTTCTCATTATTTTTTTTTTAAAGCTGAAAAAGCTGAACTGTGACCGAAATAGCTGATAATAGCTGAAGATTTTCAAAAAGCTGATAATCAACTCAAAAGCTGACCTGTGGCAGGCCTTATGACACCCAGATTTTGTCATTTTTGGACGAGGAAAATCAAAAACATTGTTATCGGCCAAAATATGAGCAATGCGCATTGAGCATTGAAAATGAAATGTGATTGTTTGTTATCAAAATGTCTGAATATTTAAACCAATACTTACCGTTGAACGATTCAGAAGTCTTTGCTCAGATTCGTTTGCTAAATATTATAATATAAAAAAATCAAATATAAGGAATTAGATCAATTTGAAACCAAATGGTTTCGAATATGGACAATCGTGCACTATTTCCACTTGCAATCATAACATTGTTTGCAATTTCCTCCATTGACAAAGGAAAGTACGGAAGAGCAATCGCGTGTTGCATCAAATTGAAAACGCATTCTGTGTTGATCCATTTGATTCAAGCAACATCACGGAGCAACAAAAACGTTGGAGCTACGTAGAATGTACGCATCCGCCCAGACAACAGAATCCATACATCTCATCATCAAATCAAAGATCCGTTTGCAAGAAAGTCAAACATCTCGGTAAGTATTTCAATTTAAAAAAAAAAAACATAAATATATTGATACTAATTGGGATTTTTTTTCCTTAAAGTTGATGATAAAGTTTACATATCGCGATCCTGTTTTTGGGAAGATGTGAATGCACAGAAAAATGACTGTATGAATTCCAATGCACCATGGTACATAAAGACAACATTTTGTGAGACATGTTCAACAGATGGTTGTAATGGTGCAGCTATGGATCCAGCGGATCCAGTCGCTGAAAATGGAAACTCAATTGATGGAGGAATCAATGCGTTCGATGAACAAAAGAATGTGGTCGATGATAAAAATGCCATCACATGCAATACAAGTACTGCACAAGACGAAAATGATGAATATATTATTGAACTAATGCTCAAGATAAAGAGAGTTTAATTTCTTTTTCATTCTCCTTGAGAAAAAAATGTCTCTGTTATGATTTACAATTACAACAAATAAATACAATAATTGGAATCATACAACTAGTTTTTCATTCTTTATTTGAAGTTGTTCCTCCCCTTTTTTTAAATTGAATCATTGAATCTAGCGACTTTATTCTAAGTTGAATGATATGATTTCGTATTCTTTACATTTATTGGATGAGTCGATTTCGTTGCGTTTTTTTTTCTTGCAGATTCTGAGTTGCACTTTGGTTAGACACTAAACAGATTAACTTGAACGAACTTTGCCACCTTTATATTTGCTGTTAAAGACCAAACAAGCAAATTAGAATGCAAAGACGTTGTGGAACTGTGCGGTAACTTTATCAATTATTTTTTTGTTTCTTAACCGATTCTATCATTAGGGCATAATAGCGATAACAATGCTTTATCAATACAATCGATTCAAAAACTTTAAGGTTATCAATTAAAATTAGCTACTTGTCTTATCAACGAAAACATACTTGTCTTGTCAGCGACTAATTTTACAGTATCATACTCGTCCAGATATTTCTCTTGAAGAGGGAAGAGAATCTCTTCCGAATTCGTCACTTTAAAAAAAGAAGAAAAAAAAACATGTTTGAATATCAGCTGCAGTTTCAATTTTATTTCACATCTTTTTCTCGAAAATTGATTATTTTTTCATTTGACTAATTATTGTTTATTATTCCATGAAAATTTTATTTCGTCTCGCATTCGGTTTGCCTATTTACACGAAAATCAACACATGTCCATGCTCTTGCAGATTTTATCCGCTGACACATTTCCAAGGAGGTCATCAACTATTTGATCTCCCATTCCTCCTTTGACGGCATCACGGCACATTTTTCGTAGACTTTTGTCCCAAATTATGGTGCATGCTCTGTCAAGCCAGTCTTTAATTTCTTCCTAAAGAAAATAATTTGATGAGACTGTTTAAAACGATCCATACAAATCCAATAAATCAAACCTGATTACCTTTGATTGATCTCGGCTTATCTCTTTCTTTACTTTTTCAATCACCAGCTCGCATGCTTTGCACTTGAGTTCGTCTAACCAACCGAATACTTCGAACCCGTCTTTGCTTTGAATCTTCGATTCAATATTGTCTTTAGAATCTTTCAGGCCGGTGGAAAAGGCTTGAGCTCCTTTGAAATTAAACCGAAAATTAATCAATTAATTAGCTTTTTTCAAACGTCGATCATATGGATCCACAAATATTTATTGTTTGGTTCGAACTTACCGAAAACGAGGAACACTCCAAGTACAACAATAAACAACTTCATGATTGTTTTGTTCTATTCAACACGTTTCTTGCAAATTAACAAATCAACTGAATTTGAGCGCTCAAGCTAACGCCTTTTATAGTTGCAGATAAAGACGAATCACTTCAGATATATCTTGATAATTGGTTTATTAGACATGGGCACAACCATAAAAATGAAGTCGGGGAAGTTTTGTTTGATCAAATGTCTATAAATTATTTTCAATTTCAAGAAGCTCAACAAAAAAAATCCCGTTATGCCACTTAACTTCGAGATTGATTGTGCGACATTAAAAAGGTTCTTCTGGCGATTAAAAGAACAATTTAAATACCCTAAATGAGTCCATAGTGTTGACTTATCATTTCATCTGCGTTTCATGTGTTTACAAACGTTTTTATGGGGGAATAAACCGAAAGTGTACAAAAATAACCAAAAATCATTACTACGACACGATTAATTGAGATTGAAATTATGGTGTAAGAATCAAATTCCCATGAATATTTTGGCCGCATAAAAAATACCAACAAAAATTGAAAGAGACCTTTATCTCCAATACAATTCCCAAAGAATTTGCCAATTGGTTTAAACAGTTTTTTATCAACACAGTGAAGCGCAATGGTAATATATTCAGCAAATTCAAAAACTTTTGGAGTTCAGGTTGCCTTGCCTTTGTCCCTATCGGAAGATCACTGACTTAAATCATGAATGACGTTATAATGTAATTTCTGAGAAATGCCATTCCCAACATTTGAGTAAACCATATGACGAAAGCATTTACTTATACTTCCAAATTATACCGTACAGATGCCATTAGAGCATTCATTGCTGAATATTTTCCATTTACAGCGCAGTTTGTTGGTTTTTATCCTTATTATTCTAAGCCAACAGATCATTTCAAGAACCGCCAGAGTTTCATGAAAATCCTCCAAATCAAACACATAGAGCTAAAATCTATTACTGCTACTCTCAAACTTACCCATAGAATTTATAACATAATTTGCTTCCTATGTAGTTTAAATGTGAAAATAAAACAGAACGGAAGAATGAGACATTTTTTTCAATGTTATCAAACGAATGAACAAACTTCGAAGCTAATACTAAATGATACCAATCAAAAATGCTATTATCAGCTGAAAAATAAGCATTGAAAATGAAATGTGATTGTGTTTTATTGAGAAATTTCACTATAAAAACTATTACTAAACATCGAACGATTCAGTTTAGAAGAGATTTTCGAAGATTCATTTACTAATTATTACTTGTTGGTTGTGTGCTCTTATCATTGTAAATATAAGAAAACAGATTGACTTAAAAAAGGATTCAAGTGGTTTTGCAATTTTGTTCAAAATGGGTACTCGTGCACTTTTTTTACTTGCAATTACAACATTTTTAATCGGTTCCTTCGTTAACAAAGGTAAGTATGGAGAAACAAAATTGCGTGTAGCGCTAAATTGAACCAGAACAATTTTGGAATTAATTTTTAATCGAAAAAAGAAATGAAAAGAAGAAAAAAAAAAACGTTCATTTATTTCTTCAAGCCTAGTTGTATACATTCGTTACTCATAATCTTTTCGATGCATCTCCGAAGGGAGAATGAGAGTAAACGCTTTGTTATCGATTAGCTGAGAGATGAAATAATGTGAGGTCATGTCAAAATCAGCAAATAGTACTGATTTCTCACATCTTTATTTTAATGAAAACTTTACGAATAATCAATCAAGACATTAATCATAGGTCAGTTCAATTGATTATCGTTTTCGGAACGATTTGCGACACGATTTCAGTGTGACTGTGTCCAATTGAGTGAACTAATTTATTTTCATATTTCTTCAGTATCTGCAATACATTGTTGGAGATGTTCATCGGATGCATCGATTGCAGCACTGTACTGTAATGATCCATTTGATTCAAGCAACATCACGGAGCAACAAAAACGTTGGAGCTACGTAGAATGTATGTATCCGCCCAGTCAATTGAATCCACACAGCCAACAATTAGCTCAAAGAGCCGTTTGCAAAAAAATCAAGCAGCTCGGTAAGTATTTAAATTTGAAAAAAAAAAATTATACTTGATTTTAATTAGAATTTCTTTTTCTCTTAAAGTTAACGATAATGTTATCATATCGCGATCGTGTTATTGGGAAGATGTGAATGCACAGAAAAATGATTGTATGAATGCCACCACACCTTCATACATAAGAACAATATTTTGTGAGACATGTTCAACAGATGGATGCAACGGTGAAGCGATGAACCCAGTCGCTAAAACTGGAAATTCATTTGATGGAGGAATCAATGCGATCGACGAACAAAAGAATGTGGTCGATGATAAAAATGCCACCACATGCAATTGCAAAAAGAGTTCTGCGTCCACTTTGAATGTTAAAACTATAGCGAATGTAGTAAATTTATTAGTGGCATTCATTTTTGCGCAGTATTTTATTCTAGGTTGTCGAAATATGCTTAAACAGGCCAACAGTTAGATGCGCAATGTGTAGTGCATATTACTTTTTTATTTGTACTTGCTTAAACCATAACACTCAATGGAAACGAAGCTGTGAATTCGATTGAAATGTTTAATATATACATCGTTAATCTAATCAAGATGAAGAAAATTAGAAAACTAAAAATAGAAATTAATTTTCTTCTCATTTTACCTAAAATTGTTTCTTTAATATGATTTATGATTACAAATAATAAATACAATAAATGGAATTACAACTAGTTTTCCTAGAAGCCATTCATTAAAATGACTATATGGATATCCTAGTGGATATCCACACTTTTGACAAAAAAAATGCACTGTTTGAACAGGTCAGCATCATAGGGAAAGTGCCACAATACATTTCAAATGTAAGTTATTTGACACAAAGCAGTCAATGCCATCTCAATTCCAACTCATTGAATCATTGTATTTTTCGGCAACTTTTTTCAAACGTGTATGGCTTCACTAGAATATAATCAACTTAACGGCGACACTAACAGCTTCTCTATGGGCCGGTACTACGCGTTAGCCAAAACGTATTGATGTTTCGCAATGGTTACTCGATGCATTTGCCAAAATACTATGATTTCTGTACTCTCTTCTACGATGTGTTTGCAGAGAAGCTGCTAGTGTCGCCGTAAAGTTGATTATATTCAACTCAAGCCACACACGATTGAAAAAAGTTACTCGAAATATTCGATGATTCAATAAGTTGGTTTAGAGATGTCATTGGCTGTCTTCTGGTATTCCGGCAATATATTTATGGTCAGCATTTGGATGCGCAATGCGTATTGCTGTTAAAATGATAACACTCAACGGGAAAAAATTGTGAACAAGATGACGAAAATGAAGAAATAAAAATTAAATATATCATCCAAATAAGATATGGATCATCTAAATCCAGTGTTTTCAATATATCATTTCTTGAAAGAATAAAGTGTATCTTCGGTGTATAATATCACCAATCTGTTTGAGTATTGATTAGCCTAAACATTCATTATTATGGCTACACATTGAAAGATGGCGCCGTATTAACTGGAAAGCATTCCACTGAGTACGCGGGAATAGACGCTTCTTCTTGACTTCTGTCAGTGATCTGATTGTCAAACGATAAATGATCGGCGTAATCAGAGAGTGCAACATGTAATTAAACCAAATATATTTTTTCTGTGCTTAATATTTATCAAAATATTGAATATTTTTCTTTCAATATCTTGTCACATAGCTAATCTCAATAGTTCACTTGAAATTCGGTTCATACCCGTGTCTGATTTTTCTGACTGTTTATATCCAATCGATTATTTTGGGACTCATTTGACTGGCTAAAAGTTACTAAAAAGTGGATAGTGATAATACGGCGAGCAATGATCAATGTTAACCAAAATCTCCGTCAAAAATGTCCTAATTTATGCGTCTGACTAAAATTCCATCATAGTAGACTATTGCTCGTACAAATCTTTTGTTCAAATTTTTCACACTAGTGCATTTCTGATAGGAAATTAAAATAATTCCAATATCTTCTGCCCTTTTTCAAATTCATTATGTCAACAAGAACGGAAAACATAGTCAGTCTGTTTTTACACATCTTCAGCGATCCCTTAAGCGTTTATGTATAATCCGAATCGACACAAATTTTCATAAGTCTGTATGAAAATGAATAGGCAATCCGTGGGCGGCCTCGTATATATATATTTATATATATATATATATATAGATTGCATATGTATTTTCTATGAAAATAGAATCAAGTCGTTGAACCTTGAAGACACACTTATGAGATAAGAAGTGAATCATGTTTCAGTCTAAAACTCTAAGGTGCCTTGTGTTAATTTTATATATGGATAATTTGAGTTAATTAGATTTATAAATAACACGTACACTGTTCAAATACACCTGTTCAAAGAGGCTAGAGACAAAAGCAATTGTTCGCATGTTTACCTTTCTGTGGGTTAGCTTGAGAGTAGTGTATATTTTTTTGACAACTTATATTTTGATAAAAGAACAAAATAGAGCCAGTCACAAGTGCTTATTCAAAGCAACCAGTCGTGTTTTTTCTTCTCTTGTGCGGTAACGCCAACTCAAATTTTTACAGAACTGTGTATATGGTTAATGTAGTGTAGTGTCATGTTTCAATCGTGGTTTTTGACGATTTTCATTTTAATGACAAAAAATATCGAATTGATGTTTTTACAAAAATTGTCGGTCTTTTATCGTTCAAATAAATTACTCCAAGACTTGTTCACCTCTTGAAAATATACTTTTCTTTTTCCAATATAAAGTCTGGGAAATGTATATCACTCTCAATCTCATCCATCGATTTGTACGTGATCAAAGTGACTTTTATATTTAATCTCAATTATCAACGAATTAAAAAAAAAAAAAACATTTTTGTTGGTCGTATGATAGTAGTGTGGTTAATAGTGTGGTCGATGACATTATAAAAACAAATAGATAGAATAAAATTAAGTTAAAATTTGTTATTCAAAATAGTTTGTGTTCACAGATAATTTCATCGGTTGTCTTGAGTAAAGTTATTTTCAACAACGGAAAATGTCCAGCGATGAAAAGCAAAGAGGACGTGGGAGGGGAATTACCACTGATAATGAACCGAGTACATCTTCAGGTATTTTTTTAACGAATGATTTGTAATCTGATGCATTGTTTGCATTATCAATTGGACACTCTGTGAAAATAATACATGAATACTAAACGTTGTCACTCGCTATATCCATAGCAGTTTATCGGCTCAACAATTCTCTATGAATTTAAACTCATGATGTGGTCTATGGACTATGAGTCTATGACCTTAGTCTATGACCTTGAGTTTGTTTCGGTGCTATCGCACACTCTTCGTGTATTCCATTCTATGGTTTACATTATGCACACACCACTACATAGAACATAGTAGGCATGCGTTTAAATGTAGTATACATATAAGCAGTTCGTCTGTAGCATACAAACAGTTCAGCATAAAATGAAACATTTCAAGTAAAGCAAATGTTCCTTTTGACCGGGTCACTCGCATTGTGTGACATTTCTAGACCAAGAGCTGTTGAACAAAGTACTATAAATCAGCCAACCAAACGCGATAGATGGTCAGCTACGGCTGACGCTCGTTATCCAGATAATTTGCG